TTTCTTGACAGAGAATATATATATATATATATATATATATATATATATATATGCACACACACACACCATACATGTACATACAACACCTAAGTGCATAGACACAAACAAACAAAAGAGGAAAAACACTTAATCTTTGTAGTTTATAAAAATACTCAGTTCAACATTTAAATTTTTAAATAATTAACTATATGGAAAATTACCGAGGTTTATTGTATATTTAATAAATAATCTTAACTTAGTAACTAAGTATCTTAGCCATGAATCAAAATTTACTTCTCTCACAATGTTTTTCACTTTCAGTCCAACACGTTTTTTTTTTTATCAACATTGTCTCTTTGACTTTCAGAACTTCCCACCTAATGCTCCCTTTCCCTTCTGTCTTCTCAGTAGCAGGACCTCTCAGGATGTTTTCTCAGTCTGATAAATCTTAGCAACAAAATGATGGTGTTTACATGGATAGGTGTTTGACAAGTAATGTGCTTCAGGGCTCAGGAGGTAGCGCAGTCAGTAAAGAGCTTGCAAGCATGTCTCCGTACCTGAGGTCAATCCCCAGAACACATGCAATCTGCCCATGGGGCTAGAGAGATAGCTCAGCAGGTAAGAGCACTGAGTGCTCTTCCAGAGGACAGGGGTTTGATTCTTAGCACCTACATAGTGGCTAACAACCACCTGTCACTCCAGTTCTAAGGGATCCAGTGCCCTCTTCTGGCTTCTGTAGGCACCAGATACACGTGTGGTAGAGACATACAAGCAGGCAAAATATCCATAAAAATAACATAAAGTAATCCTAGAGAAATGTAAAAATATTGGATATTGTAACAGGTACTTACAAGTCTAGCACTGGGGAGGTGTAGACAGGTAGATTTCCTGGGTATTTCCGGCTAGTCAGTCTAACCCTGTTCTCAGTGAGAGATCCAGTATCAAAAAACAAGGTGGACATCACTGAGGGACCAACAACTAACATTAACTGCTATCATCCACATGCATACATCCTGGCACAGACACATTCATCCGCACACACATACATATATGTACAGTGTGACAATAATCTGATATGTTCCCATTCATCCAACAGGTGTATTGATTAACACACAGCCTCCTGACCCAGATGTGCTGGGAACCAAACTCAGGTTCTCTGGACCTTCTGGCAGAACAGTATGAATCATCACTGTTTTATGGGCATGCTTTTGCCAAGATGGGCATTTGGAGGCCAGAGAACTTTTGGTAGTCAGTTCTGGGGATTGAACTCAGGTTGTCAGTCTTGCCTGACAAGGGTTTTTACCAACTGATCAATCTTGCATCTATCTATCTATCTATCTATCTATCTATCTATCTATCTGTCATCTGTGTGTCTGTCTAATCTATCTATCAATCATCTATCTAACTGCTACATTATCTGTTCTCGAGTCAGGGTCTTGATATGAACCTTATATTAGCTTATATTTTGCCATCCTCTGGCCTTCATGTCCCCCTTCCATACTGGAACTATAGGATCACCATCAAACTCAGCTTAATAGCAAGTTATTTAAACATTTTTAGATTAAAGAAATGCTTAAAATGCAAATTACTCAATGTTTTTCAGGTTATGAAGACAATGACATCAACATAACTTCTTTGCAACAGATAAAAACTGTGACAGAACAGGTGGTACATCGTAATGGAAATCCTGCACCTGCCCAGGCAGCCAAGCCCACTATGATGTCCCAACCCCACCACCACATGGCAGCGCTGGTGGGACCCCAGGAGCCCTCCTTTCAGTCTGGAATCCTGAGGACGATGTCTCACAGAGATGTCCGGGCCGATCTGTTCCTGCGAAGCTTCCTCACATGGGCGGACACTGTAGAAATGTTGCGTGTGGCTGGGCACCCATCCGTGTACAAGTCGGGCTGGCTGTACCCAGTCTACATATTCAGTTTCATCTCTCTCCTGCGGATGATCTCCACGCCTAAGAACCCTCTTCTCAATTCCATGGGGGTCCTGCTGCAGGATTTACCGTTTATTTTTCTGAGACTCAGTTTAATCATTGTCCTGGGGACTATCACACCAGTACTGGGCCTTTGTAAAAATGTCCTAGTGACTGTCTCCTATATTTACTTCAATTATGTAACCAAACTCAGGCCTTTCTCTGCCTTTGAAACCTCTCCATTTTAAGCAGCCAATGTTAAGAGAATAAGTCCTCTTGATTATGCTTATAAACAAGAGTTGTAAAGTCTTTCCAGGCATAAGCTTTTGTACTATATAGAATTAACCACTTTCAAACTGTAGCATATCTACTTTTTTTTACATATATAAATGGTGCTATGTTTAAGCAAAGTTATATCCTTCCAGATTGCCTCTTCTGAGCTTCTAGAAACATTAGTCATTGATTTTAGCCAGACATATCCCACTTGTTGCTAAAAATCACTCCTCGGTGAAGCCTTTTTAAAGTGGTGGGAACTATGAGCTAGCTCAGGAATGAGATTTTCATTATGTGTACATTGAAGAACATTTTATGACTCAATTAACTGAAATTAGTTTTATAAAAATAACCTGAAGATACTGAATATATTTTAGAGTTTGCTTGAAAATCTGAAAACTGTAGCTTTAGGGTCTCCTTCAAACATAAAATTACATATATTCTCTCTCTGTCTTTCTCTCTCTGTGTCTGTCTCTGTCTCTCTCTCTCTGTGTGTCTCTGTCTCTGTCTCTGTCTCTGTCTCTCTTTCTGTCTCTCTCTCTCTCTCTCTCATTTTGTTTTCAGCAGTGAGGATTAAATCAGAGCTCTGGACACACTATCCTAGTGCTCTACCAATGAGCTGCATCCTTAGCCATAGAAATACATTTTCCCCCTGCTACAATGACCTCTATTTAACTCATTGTTTGTGTAAAAACAAACAAAACAAAACAAAACAAAAACATGGGACTTCAGCTGCCACCAGCTCAGCAGTGCTTCATTAGAGCCCCTTGGGCTGGTACAGCAGGACAGTACTTCAGTGTTGAGTAATGGAGACAAGGTACACTGTGATTCTTAGATAGTTTTATAATAGAAACCATAAACTGAAGACAAAGTAGAAGAAGGTAATATTTATGGAATTTGATACCATCATAAAACAATCAAGTACAAGCCATATTTAAAATGATAGTTTGAACTTAGTGTGGTGGTAAAGTGTCTTATCGTGCACTAGGTCATGAATATCTTCATGCTTTGATAATCATACACACAGTCATGGGTTCTGCCGGTGCTGTGTTGGCACAGATGTCTTAGCCACAGCAGAGGGTCTCAATTAAGAGAGGGTTGTAAGAGGTTTATGTGTGCAGAACAATGATTCTTGTCACTCTCCTCCCTGACCTATGAATACAAATAGCTTATGAATAGATGGATAACTCTGAGTGTTCCTGGCTTCTGCACTGAGGCCCATGGGCTCCTTTCCCATTGTGTCTTAGGGGCCTCACACCAAAGAGAACATCTACTTACAATTATGAAGCCTTGGAAGCCTTGCCTGCCCGCTCTGTGATTTGGGGCTTGTTCCTTGAAAGCTGTGGCCCCCACTGCTATGTGTAATAGATGAGCACAATATATAAACATATAAATACTCCTTTAATAGTGTTGGGTGATGGTAGGATTTGGAGTGCTCTCAATACAGTGTCTGGTAAATAATAACACCTTAATAAATGTTAAGCATTTAATGGTTCCATCCCACACCCTGCCCACCTTCTAGGAATAAAAGTTTATACCTGGAACTTGTGAGATGTAACAAGTAAGAACTCTTAAGGCTACCTCAGACTACCAGTTTTTTTTTTTTTTCAATTACTCTTGTAGACAATAGTGAATGATCTGTTAAATATTTAGATGAAAGTGAATGTGAGGATTCTTTCTTCCATTTGAACAAAACTTCAATGAGTTTTCAAATAACCCAGATTATAACACTTTATTTTTCTCAATTTTATTTTTTTTTATTTTGGAGCCGGGTTCTTATTATGTAGCCCAGGCTGGTCTGAACTCACTATTATATAGCTGAAACTTATCTTGAGCTCACCACCCTCCTGCCTCCACCTCCCCAAAGCTAGGATTACAGGTACCTGCCATCTACCCAACACAGGGTCTTTTTGTTTTGCATTGCTGAAGTTTAAACACAGCCTCATCAGTTCACTGGTGCCAGATAAGCAGTGTGTCACTAGGCCACAAACCCAGACTGCGCTTTCTATTTTTGAAAACTTTTGATTATATATTTACTTTTCTTGGTTCCATGTTAACTTGTCAATCCTATAAGAGAAAGCCTGACAGTGCCATGTTTAGCCACATCTCTATCTCCACCAGTATTTCTAATACAAAGTTCATATTATATATCTTTTAAAATTAGGAAATGCCTATAACCAAGTGACCAGTTTACTGTATCTATAAATGTGAAACTCATTTACATAAATGTATATATCTTTATTTTGCAATTTATTTTAGAGTGAGTGGCATTCAGTAAACTTGGAAGTTAGCCTGCATTTTGTATCTGACAGTTGAACTTGAATATGCCTGATATTTGGGGATGTTGGCAATACTTTATACAGATAATGAAGGCATGTATAACAGAGCATGTAAGTCAGGAAAAGCCTTGAGTCTCTAACCTAACTGAATGTACAGATGTTTATAAAGTTCAAATCTTTGGTATTTAAGAGGTATTACAAAAAATTATGTTAATGTAGTAATGATAGTTTTACACTATGTGATTAAACCTGTATTACTAAATTATACTGTAATTCTCATAGCTCTTTATAGTTGCTGGTATTAAGGTGTTGTGTCCTAATAAAAACCTTAATTTCTGCTGTAAAGTGTGAATACCTAATCTGTTCTAGACTATATAGTATTTAACTTCAAATAAAATCGGTAGCTGCACGATAATTACATCTTCATTAAATGTCAATGTCATATAAGGTTAATTGCTGAGACACATAAAAATGCATCTATGATGGAATATTAATACCATCTAACTACTTTTATAAAAAGCTAATTTTTTGGTGCCTTTTCTTTCTGCAAGTTGATGTTTGCATTTACAATGTGCCAGAGTTTACAGGCTGAGTTGTCCAGTTAGCACTCCACATCACTGAGTGGCCATTACCCTAAGGCATAAACACCTAAAGAGGAAAGAAATAGTTTGTTGTGTGCAGGACACAGGCTGTGTGCAGGGCACCAGCTATTCAGACACTTGCTGTGTGAGGGACATGGGCTGTGTGGAGCAAGACTGTTTAGTGAATGCTCCAATAGCCTTTTCTTCCTAATAATTATTAAAAGTATGTTAAATTGGGTTTAAGAAAAAACCAAGAACTTATGGTGTCTATCTCCCTATGCCCTAGAGGAAACAAAAATTAATGAAAAGAAAACATGTAATATATTGAACAAAAGTGTTTTTTTAAACCATTTTTAATCTTTAGCATTTTCTTATTTATTTACTTATTTATAGACAGGGCCTCACCGTATAGCCTGGTTTTCCTGGGACTTGTTACACAGTACCGGCTGTCCTCAAACCATCAGTGACCCATCCTTCTGCCTCTGTCTCCTCAGTGCTAGGATGGTTACAGGTGTGTGCCACCATGCCCCGTTCTTTTCACCTTTTAATTAAAATCCTATGACTAAGCGACTCTTATGTGTTGAGGTCTTTCCAGCTGTGCAGTCACGTGGTCCAAACACAGAGACAGCAGGGTCAGGATGGGAGGAGATACAGAAACAAAGGCATGTACGTGTGAGAACACAGGGACAAATCCAGCTACCCTCTGAAAATGCTCCAAGACCATACTAAAGGCCTCAGTTCGTGAACCTGAAATCACACTCCTGCGTGTAGCCATCATGTCATCTATATATGATAGTCTTGACCTAGCAGACAGCTCCCCTTCAAACCAAACCTGGCTCAAGCTGAAGATCCCTGGGAAGTGAAACCAGAGCACTGTGGGTAATAACTCTAGGAACATTACAGACCTATAAAAATTGACCATTTATAATAGCTTATGGGATTTTGCCATGTTTATCCCTAAATTTTTCATTTTTATTATGTTTATCATGTTAATACAGAATGGCAGGTCATGTCATGCGCATGAAGGAGAGAGGACAACTTTCAGGGGTTGGTTCTCTCCTTGCATGTTGTGGGTCCTGGGAAATGACTCAGGTCATCACCTTAGTGGCCAGCACCCTCACCAAACGAGACATTTTTCCAACCCCATCACCAATTTACTTTGAAGATAATTCTGTTTTGATTTATTTAATTTTTAATAGTGTGTGTGTGTGTGTGTGTGTGTGCGTGCACACGTGTGTGCAGGCATGTATGTTCACACATGTGTGAGTGTACATGCCAGAAAGTTCCAGAAGAGGGCATTATTAGATCCTCTACTGTGGAGTTACAAGTGGTTGTAAGCCATCTGACAAGGCACTGGGACCTGAACACAGGTCTTCCACAAGAACAGCATGCACTCTTAACTACTGAGCTATTTCTTCAGCCCCAATTCTGAAGACAATTACCCTGAATATTTTATTAGCTCACTCATTCAACTAGTTTGCAAATCTCTCATAGACCAGATTGTGGTTTGTGTGAACAAATAATTTACAAGATCTGGAAAACTACTTTAAAAAGTAGTTTAGTCTAATGTCACAAATTAACACAAATTTAGGGATAATGTTTACTATAATAAAATGTATATGAGTTTGGCATTTATACTTACGTAAACTTTAATTTTCTAAATTTTATAAACGCTCATAATTTTCTTTATACTGAATTGGGAATGTTAATGGATGTTTTTCAGGAATGCCTTCTCTTTCAACAAAGCATTTATTTTCTTTTTGTTTTCTTTTTTGAGACAGGATCTCATTATGTAGCCTGTGTTGACCTTGAACTCATGATCTTACTGCCTCAGCATCTTCTATGCGGGGTGATTACAGGCTTAGATTACCACCATACCTGGCTGCTGCTGCTGCTTCTTCTTCTTCTTCTTCTTCTTCGTCTTCTTCTTCTTCTTCTTCTTCTTCTTCTTCTTCTTCTTCTTCTTTTACAAGTTCATTTTAGATGCTATGAAACATCTGTATTCTACAGCATGTAAATGGGTAAAATCTATATTCAAATTGTTAAAAATTACAGAGGGTTTTTACCAATTTGCTCAGTGTCTAAGTAACAACCCAGTATTTTTTTGTGTCTTAACATCCATGTATAAAAAGCACATCACCTGGATACATGGGGTAGGGCCTAGGCCTGGCCCAGGATGATGTGGTAGATTTTGGG